AGGGGTGCTGACCGACCGGAGCGGGGAGCGGGTGGCGGTCGCTCGGGCCTCTCGCCGCTCCCCTGGCCCCAGCGCGGTCTCGCTGTCCCCGTCCCGCCGGGCCGGGCCGGGGAGTAGGTTGGCTCTAGCGCGGCGGCGGCGCCCGGGAGCGGAGCGAAGGCGGCTCCGCGGCATCGGGTCAGCCCGAGTAGCCGAGCGGTGTTTAACCCGCAGCGCGCGTTTCTTCTTCCCACCCAGCTGGCGAAAGATCTAGTGCACCCCTCCTTGGAGGATGAGAAGAGAAAGCACAAAAAGAAACGGCTGGTGCAGAGCCCGAACTCCTACTTCATGGATGTAAAATGTCCAGGTAAAGACTTAAAATGTTTCTATCTTACAGAAGGAACGGAACTAGTTTTGTATGCGGTTCATCTTCATAAAAGCTCTAATTTTTTTTTTAAAATCTAAATGCGGTTTATTTGTTGCATAGAGAAAAAAAAGTCTGTATCTTGCTTTGAGCTTTTTAAACAATAAAACTGTTTTCAACCTTTTTCAAAAGTTAATTTAAACAATCAGCTTTATATTTTGTTTCCTGGAGGTCTGGCATGAGATTATTTTTCTTTTGTTTGCTTTATGAAATTCTGGTAAATAGGGAAAAAACCAAACCCCCAGATTTGCACATACAAGAAGCGTGAGAAATAGATGCTTTAAAGCATCTATGGCACAAGTTTCAAATGCAAGACAACACTGTTTTCCCCCTTTTGTAAGTTGGTTGATTCTGGAAGAGCAACCAGAAGGGTTACCACAAGGATACTATGCAGGCAGCCTGGGCCTTCACATAGCAAGTAAAACATACACAATTGGCTTTTTCACACGTTGCTGTTGAGCAGTAAACTGACACCTAGCTCACAGAGGCAGGGCTGGAATTTAGAGTGTTGCCTGAGTCCACTTTTTACAGATTTCTCATTACTTTAACTCAGAAACATCTGTATAACCGACTTCTCGTTTATACGCTAAAACATGGAATTCTAGTGCAGTGATAGCCGTATGCTTTCCCAGCGAACAGCTGCTTTGATCAGCACAGGTCCATCCCTATCGAGGCACGAAAATGGCCAAGTGTGGTAACTTACCTCCTAGAAACTAAAGCAGTTTAAGAAGATTCTAGCGGTAAGAAAATGCAGAGACTTACTTACAGCAGCGACCATTCTCACTAGAAGCAGGGAATTGTTGCTATATTCAGATTTTCTTATTACCTTACTCTTTTTAGTAGCTTACATTTCTAAGAAGCTGAGACATTGTTTTCCATCTAAAAGTGAGGTAAATTAATTAGAACCGTTTGAAAGTGTAGTTACTTTAAAAAAATAACATGGTTTAAGGCTAAGCCACTGAACTTTTTTTAAACTTTCTTCAAACCAGTATATATGCAAACATGACTAAGATGCAGTTAATGTCAAGCAGTGACCTATGGACCTATCTTATCTTTATTGTTGGATTAACTGGTTACTGGAGTTGAGGGATATATAGAGCAAAGGAGAGCTTCAGTAATGAAAGAGTCCTAAGGATGAGGCACTGAAAATCCCAAGACAGCCTTATGGTGGTGTTGGAAGTTGCTACCTAGTTACTGAAATGGATAGGGCTCATTTCCCTGCAAAATCCAGTTTTAAAATCTCATCAACACAGAAGTTCACATTTTGTGGGAGGAAAACAACATTTGCCATGGTTAAACTTGAGCTGCTAGCGTTTTTTTGCGAACAAAGATTTGTGCAGTTACTATCTGTGATTTAAACAAAGCAGAAATCTGTTATTCTAACAGGAGTTGTCCCTACCAGTTCTCTTAGAGAGCTTTCTGAGGACCTTACTCACAACATATATTCTCTCATCTTTCTGGTCCACACATGTTGAAAATGGAATCTATGCTCACCTTTATTTATTTGACTATTTTCTATATTCACATTTAGATTCAATTCTTTACAAGTTTTCTCTATTCAAAAATTCCTCTTGGCTAGTTGAAAATTCTTTTTAGGGAAAAGAATGAAAGTTGTGAAAAGGTGAAAATCCCCTTGTCTAAGCCACGTATGAGAATAAATTCTGTGATTTAAGAGTGAAATCAGAAGTTGTAGACAAAGTGCTGCTGATGCTTTGTCTTGCATGTGGAATTAGTGAGGTTATTCTGTGCAAGTCTTCTCATTTAAATATGCTAGCTTTGTCGAATGCAGGCACGTACCTTATGTGTATCAATTATTAAACAGAAAGCAAACACGGATTTGAACAGCAGTGTTTGCATTCACAGCTGCCAGACTTTGTCAACAGCAGTGTTGTACTATTACAAGTTAAGTATTTCTCTACCTATGTGGGTTCTTCTGTTTGGCAAAGAAGGGTAGTCTAGAGCTCCTTGACTCTTTTGTAGGAAATACACTAAAGGCCACTTAGGACCTGTCAGCCACCAGGCTGTGTTGATTTTCATAGAGGGAGTCATAACAGTTTCAGTTAACTAACCTGCTTTATATGTGTGTTAGTAAAAGCAAATACTCTGGACCATGATAACAATGTTTTGCTTTGTTTTACTTGGTATGCTGTGTAATGACATAATAGATCCATTTTTGGACAAGTGTATTTAAAGTGTCTGGTTCAGTTAAAAAATCATGCTAGGAATAATCAGTGGAAAGTTTAATAATGCTGTTTTCCAGGATGCTACAAGATCACCACTGTTTTCAGCCATGCTCAGACAGTAGTTCTGTGTGTAGGGTGCTCAACTGTGCTGTGTCAGCCTACTGGGGGGAAAGCCAGGCTCACAGAAGGTAAGGTGCAATGTTTAGCAGCCTAAATATTACACTTAAATAAACTTGCTTAGAGTTGGCTGGTAAAACCATTGTTAATGAGCCCTGAATTGCAAATTTTTCTTCATATTCTTGTTCTTAAATGGCTATACAGATATGCCAGGCAGCTACACTGTGATCAAACATGCTTGATTTTAGGTGCTTTGACTACCTGTTTCCTTTAGCCTATCTGCCTATTTAATTCTGAGCTAAGTTTAGAACTTTAAAGGAATAGGGTACTTTTGCCAGGCTAAAGCGATTCTGTGCCACTGCTAGTCAATGGTGGCTTGCCTGTTTGTTTTTAAACAGTAGTACTGTAAGGCTCATGCTAGTCAAAATTTGCTTTGTATAAATTAGAAGGAAGCAAATAACCACTGATAATTACATACAGATAATTGGTATAGTACCAGTATCTTGAAATGCAACCCACTCTCTGGGGTATATGAAAGATACTGGAAACACTTGAGGGTTTAAAAAAAAATAAGGAACAAATTCAGATTTTATTCATGTTTGTTTAAAGTGAAAAAGGTAAATATATATGCAGATTACATATAGTAGTGCTTATACCATGTGCTACTATATGGATGTAGTTTATATGAGGACAGAATACCTTAAATAAGGCTGTTGAGCTGTTGAAAAGGTGTCAACCCTCCTAGCAGCTGTTCCAGTTTGGGGTTTGCATCACTAAGGGATGGAATAGTAGACTGAAACTTTGAAAGGCACCTGGAAGAAACAGTACACCTTAGCCTTATATTTAGATCAATTATACAAGAGCTGTGTTGTTCCGGTTAAGTTGGAGAAGACTCAAAGTGCTAAATCTCCCATCTCCTGCAGTACATGAAATTTAAATTTATTGCATGAGTTTTCCTACTTCAGTCGGGTGGGCAGTTTTCCAAGGCAGTCTGACAATTTAAGGACTATTCATATCTATACTCATGTCATTTCTTTACAGGCTGTTCATTTAGAAGAAAGCAACACTGAACACTTCAGCATGTGGTTTTGTATCAGTGTTCCTGAAAGCCTTACCAGTTTAAAAATGCCTGTTAATATAACAATGTAATTATGATTGATTTTGTAAAAATTACATGCTACTGCTGTCTAATGACATGGAATCTCTTTTTCAATAAATAATTTGAAGTGCAAGTTTTTCCTGCAAGTTTGTAGACAACTGAGCTCTATTTTTATATTACTTTTACTGTTGAGTGGTGTCATTTAATACAAAAGCCTTGGACTTGCTGCATCCCTCCCCTCGTTAATCATCAGCTACAGCAGTGTAATGCATATGGTGGCAGAACCTGCTATATGAATGCATTTTGTATACGTTATTACTGCAGCTACCCTAACCGCAAGGGCTGCAAAGGCTAGATTTAAAATGGCCCATTTAACACTGCTTTAGTCCCTTTAGATAAATAGAGCGAGCTACTCACGTTCAGCTGTTTTTCTGGAATGCATGGTTTTTCCTTCTCTCTAATCTGGTCTCAAACTGTATTTGGTATTCTATACTGAGATTTCTATACACCAGAAATAAAAAAGGAGTCTTTTGTGTAACACTGAAAGCAATCAGTATAGAGAAGGCATAATAAGCAAGTCAGCAAACTACACTGTAGCAGCTGTGAATGGTATCCAGTCATTAAAAAAACTAGTACAGCAAAACCATGCATATTTTCAGTTTTAAATACTGACATTGAATAATTACCTTTTTGTAATGAGAAGACACATTTTTAGTTAGTTTCTAAGAGCCATCCCTTTCTAAATGGCTGCTGAGAAGTGGATTTTTTTTAAACCATGAAAAAACATTCAAATAAAGTTTTACTTGTATCTCATTTTACTAAATATGTCAAGTAATGTATCATCATCTCTTTCTAAGTATGAGGTGTCTTGGTGAGCTAATTATTGTTGGGAATTTCCAGTTAACCTGTATTCTTTTTATGACTTTTAAAACTTGTATATTTCTAGTCAATAAAATAACCAAACCCTGATACTACAATTTGTTGTATTTGCAAGATGTTTTATTTCAGTTAATTCAAACAGTGAACACTTAGAATGATTACCAGATGCAAAAAGTAGGTGTTTGATACAGAAATAGATGCACCAATTTAGTATACATGCCTTTTAAGAAAAGTAGTCTTATGTCAGTGCCATACTGTGTTTTCACAATAAAGGTTAATTAAAAATTGTAAGAGCAAGTTTATAATGAAATTTGCTCTTAATTAACCAGTTTTCCACACTTAATGCCAGTCCATCAAAAAAATGGTTTCAGAACAAAGATCAAAGTAGCAATATTAATTCACTTGTGACCTGAATATGTGTGCTAAGGCCAGACTGATTCCTAGTCTCCAATATCTCTGCCTTCTCTTCCTCTACCTTAAAAGATAAGAACTCATTATTAAGTAAATACCAAATCAGAGAAAGTCAGTGACACATTTTGTTCCAGGTACTGGAAGATGAACTTTAGACACCATAGCATCTCCAGTACCATACATGTGAAAACAAAGGTTTTTTAAAAGTCTTAAAAGTTATGGGAGATACAGTATAAAGAACATAAGCATAAAAAAGTTGGTGGCTAAACATATTTATGAGGGGAGTGAGACACTGTCATTAATATCTTAGTGTTCGAAATGCCTTAGACACTTCTTACCACTATTCACTTTCATACACACTTCAACTATTTACATTTATTAGTGTTTTGTTGTATGCAGACAAGCATACTGGTAAACCTATGCCTTCTACACTGTGAATCTTGGTCTAAACCTAAACACAATGGTCAGTGAGTGAAACTGGTTTTCTCTCAAGTATGCAAAATGGTTTTCAAGAACAATACCATTTGCAAAACAGATGCATCACACAAGAAAAGTATGGTATAAATCCTAAAATAACAGTGCTACTTTTCAGTTTTTATATATTTAAAACATTTTATTTGGTCTATTTGTATTCATGTATTCTTCAACATGAAAACTACTCAGACTTACTCCTGTTACCTGTGTAAAACGGGCAATGACTAACTGCTGCATGTTTACCCAGCTAGTAGCTGCTCAAGACTGGAAAAAAAAAAATGTTGCTATTGTAGAAGATGCTCACCTCCAGTACTTCTGTATTGAAACTGTCGAACAATATCAAAGGCTTCAGTGAAAGAGTAGATAATTTATTGCCTGACCAAATGCAAGTTTGTTCAAAAAGGTTTTCTCTGCTGTCTCTACTGATTTGATATTCTTGAGATAAAGACAACTCATTATTAATGCATTAAAAAGTCAAGTTTTGGTGAGTGGGCCAGAAAACTCAAGCAAATAGTTTACATGTAAGCTTTCACTGTTGTAAGGCACAAGAATTATTATAATTTTGAAGAGTACTAAACCAGTCCTACTAGCTTCAATTAAAAATGTTGGTAAAACACTGACAACTCAAAATACGGAATTTCCTATTTTTTCAGTATTGGATAACAAATGTTAGCATAGGCATACTGGGAACAGAGATGACAGCATATTATTTCATCACATGGCAGGTAACAACTATGAAGTTAATGCTGAAAGCACTAACTTGGGAAAGAGGCAGGTAAAGCTATCTTCTGCTAGCTGTTATCTAAGATCTAAGACATCTTGCTCCTTTAATTCAGAGAAGCAGTGCAGGGATGTAAATATTCAAACCCTTCCTGAAGGATATTTTGTTTTGTTTGCCTGGAAATACTGTCTGATCTAACTACAGGGGAAGTTGGGTAGGAGGCAAATCTTGGGAGATCATGGAGATCTTACATGCCATTATGCAATATATAAAATTAATATATTCAGATGTTACTGTATTCCTACAGTAAAACTGAAGATCAGAAAATGCTTCTTTGGAACTCTTATCACAATTTCTTGTTCAACCTTTTGCCGAAAGTAAGTCCTTGAGGCAGATCTCCAAAATGGGAAAAAGGGTGGTTTTCAAAAAAAACCTCTCAAAGTCTGTAAGACTTCTACTACTGGCTTCAAGAATGGGCTTTGTATTTTATTGAGTTATTTGAGTTCCTAATCCCTACCTCTAAAGAAACATCTACATTACAGAATACAGTGACATTTCTGGCTACCGGAATTAGCACATGTATCATTCAAAAACAGAGACAGTTTTGACAGCTCACCTTGTTGTGCTACTCGGGCATATTCGACTGTGGAAATAATACCCTTATTTCACAGTAAACTAGTGTCACACATTCTCCGTGTCCGATAAAAATGAAAGAGAGGACATCTAAATAACACAAAGATTTTTACTTACATTACTCTAGCTTCATTCTTTTCTAATTCTTAACAATTCACAGCTCTGACAAGAGCGTTACTTCTGGTACAAATCTGCATTCTGGAGGTAGCTTCAAGACTTGGGGTTTGTTGGGGGTTTTTTTTGCTTTTTAAGCAAATAAGAAAAGTGTTATGTAAAAATATAAAAACAGTAAAACCATTCTTTAAAAAGGAATACTGAACAGTTTTGGCAGACTGGAACTGAGAATAACAAACTACTTCATGTGCTCAAATTGAGATGTGAAATTTTTCAAAAGTTTAACGTTTAAGGTTGACAATTTTTTGTTGTACTTCTCAGTCCAAGAAACCAGTGGTAGTTTTTTTCATCTTGGTCAAGTGCTTGAGTGGATGAGGAAAAAACCTGCTAAAATAACAGTAATTTACATAGGTACTACGGGATGTCAAATTTACTGTTACATTCTCTTCTGTAAGTTAGGAACTTCCCTGAGAGATGAATTCCAGTTACACATAAATTTAGCACCACTAGCAGAAGTTAATTATGTTAATTTTTTAATGCTTTTTCTTCATGTATTCTTAGCGATCTCGGAGTCCAATTACACCCTGCTCCATTTGTTTTTCATGTTTGAGTACAGTGAGTTCAGCTACGTGTATCTCTTCTTTTTAATCTACATATTGTGCCCATTTTTCTTTATCAAATTCCCTTGCAATCTTTAAGGCAGTGCTGTTGAGTGAAACTGATTGCATATTACAGATAATACTGACAATTACTCCTCTAGGTGGTGCCACTAGCCCAGTATCTATAGCTTCAGAGCCCAGCTCTTCAGGAAGAATTAGGAGGACACTACTTGCCCCCACTGCACCACCCGTATGAGATGTGTAGTGTCTCTGCTGTCTGCAACAGCCACATTGTTGTTTTTTCTCTACTACAGCCCAAGCCATTGCATATTTACCATCCCTGTCCCACGATACTTCTGTTTTTGGCACTGGGGTCCACATCATTGCGACTGTGTCTGCTTTGAGGTACCCAGGAAGAAGTTTCCCGTTACTGTTTTTAAATTGTCCAGCTTGATAACTGTACAACAAGGCATTTCCAAATTTCAGAAGGTCACCTACTGACGACAGAAAACCACCACCAGCCCACTTGTAAGAGTTGTCCACGTATGGTGCATTTACCAGCCGTCCCTTTTTGTTGTAAACATAACACCTAGAATTCAAGAAAATTCAACTTGTCATTGCTCATATCTTGGGTACAACTATTTTAAGCTGCCCTACCAAAAAGAGCAAACTGAGCTATTTCTCATGAAACCAATTTAAAAAAAATTTCTTGTCTTAAATATGTTTCTTGAAGAAAAATCCAACAAGAAATTCAGACAGGAAAACAAAGTTCAGCTAACTTCTTAGGTTAGAAGCTTAACTTCAATAAAAGTACTAATCCTTCTACTTATTCCTAGGATATACTAAGAGTAAAGGCAATATACAAATAAGAGATGTGACACAAATCTATAGATCAGCCAGCAGAGGATTTTCCTTAAGTCTCTATACTAGATTTAAGGTGCTTTAAGAAAGAGGAATCCTACAACTACAATCAGACACTGAGCTGAAATTTCACTGAAGTCTTAGGTGACCGCTCTGAGACAGCAGTTTCCATTCATGACTGATTTCCCCCCACTGCCCCATTACAGTTGCCATATAGCACAACAACTGAATATTTTGGAACTACTAAATGAGAAGCTTGAAAGAGTCTTGCAAAACCTGTCATTAAAAAACAAATTAGAAAATACCAATCAGAATTGCAGAATGTCCTA